CTTTATACAGCGCTGTGTCGAAATGATTTTTTGAGTAATACTGAAAGTTTCATAGAAATCTTCGTACTCGAAGTATTCTAAAATGTGAAGAATACAACCTTAGGGGTACAAAATGACCCCAGGGCGAACGGATAGGGTTAAGTAATCCGATGGATTTTTCAATGGAGAACGGCTGCTGCAAGCAGATTTGAACGATGACGTCAATAGATTACAATTATCACAAAGGAGAGTGTAGGTCAAAATGTGAGGTAAGGAACATTGCACCTGTCACGGATGTGGACATTTGTTAAATAAGACAGAAATGACCGTTTCTAAAATTCCTAGTCAGTCAAATGCTTGACAGTCAACCAAGAAAAGGTCGCTGAATTTTTTATTAATGGTGACGAGTCACGTGTAGAACAGTCATAGTCACAAAATGGGAGAAGAACCCTTCTAAATTTTTCTAGACTCATATGACTCTATTTCTGTTTGACTATTCGATTACTTTTATTGTTATTTCAATTGTAAAGCAAACAAAGATAATCAACAGACAGACCACAGGACATGATTTAGCTTTACACACGTTCATTCCTCATATTATATTTTGTGTTAAAGTGAAGACATTGTACTGTAAAGTGACTGCAGCTGTATCGACCAGAAGTAGATGCTATAGAAATTATCGGCACTACAATTTTTGTCATTATTAATAGCAGCCTGACTAGTTGGTTACTAAATGCAGTGACGATTTAAAGACATTAACACCACTCACCATCTGTGCGAGGTCACTCCCGGCCGGCTGGCCACTAGTTACGACAAAGATGATGTCCTGGACCCCTCGTCGCCCTCCTAGGACACTGTCCACTCCATTCTTTCTGATATACTCCACACCGGCACCTGGCTTCCGATTGCCTGCCTATGGGTCAGAAACAGATTAGTGTATAAAGTGCTCCGGCGTCAATATCCAACGTAAGAAAATCATGTTCAGGGCTCCATAATTGAGTGGGATATTGATGTGGGTATTTCATTTTGGGTTTTTTTGGTATAAAAATCAAGGCATCCTTATTTAATGGGTAGGCCTACATCAGATAGTGCCGTAGGGAGTATAATATGCAATTTAGCACTTACCTTATCTATTTATCCATGCACAGATATATGATATTACCCTATTATGCTCTAGTTATTTTTTTGTGTGTTTTTTTTGGGGGGGGGGTTGTCCATAAATGTTTGCAAGCATCTTTAATGTACTACTGATCTCAGCCTACATGTTTTACCGACATTTGTGGCTTTCGTTAAAATGAATTTCAATGGAAAGTATATTATGTCTGTAAAACGACCAAGACTCTAATATAACATTATGGTAGATACATAAAGACAACAGCTTATATTCTTTAAGATGAGAAATTTACGGTTGCCGTACATAACAACATAATGATATTATAGACAAGACTTAAGTCCAAAACACATCCTGATAACAGAGGCAGTGTTCTTTACACCTAATGAGTGAAATTTTAGCAAAAGACAAGTAGATTGACGCAACGGTGGACACAAGTTTTGTCACCAGAAAAATCAATAAATCACGCAGTGCGTTCTAAAATGAGGTTTAAAAAAGCCATGAAATTACGAAAACCTCTAGATCTAGGAGTGAATATATTTCTGAACCTTCAAAGAGGTACTTTTCCAACACCCTGCTTCTGGGAGATTCAAAATATACGTTTTCTGGGTGTTCTACTCTTGGAGCTCTTCAGAACACCGGTACAGAATTTACAAGTCAGGCGAACTCTCAGGACTTTGAGACAAAATGAACTGCAACGGGTCAGGTACATCAGTTTCGCAGGATGTGTGTAAAAAACAGGGAACGATAAATCGTATATGTAATGAATCTTTATGAATGTTTCAAAGGTAAACAATCAATAGTCGTGTTGATTGTTAATCATGTTAATTATGTGGGTACATTCCCTTTACGATTATACAGAGGCCAAGTTTCCTCTTCCCGCCTCGTGAGTTCAGTGAGTGACACTGTCCTGTTGTCAAGTCTGTAAAACATATTTGAATCCATCCTTGCCAATAAACATGTTTAGTACAGTATACGATGTGTATCCGGTTGAGCTGTTACCATCAGTTGGATGTGGATAACAACTGCTTAACTTCAGTAATTGGACCCTCCATTAAATACAGCAATATGTTTTTGCAGTAAACTCTTCATATAACACAGACAGGTGTACCCGCATTCAGCGACACTTCATTAATGCAGACTATTGTTTCAGGCATTGCCCCATACAGACCTCATTTCTGCAGAATATAGTTTCTCCTAAAAAAATAAGATATGTCGTTTTGACCATTTCGCGCCTGACACCATTGACTTGGAACCAACACTCACTTGGTAAGGCACAAACTTGAGAGCCAAGAGGAGTTCATTCTTGTCCATGTGATCGTCCAGACTAAACTGTAGGTAAGCGTAGTCCGCTTCTGTCACCAAGCCTACCTGAGTAGACATGTTTCATGATGATAGTAACAACAATACTAATAATAGGGCCTACTAATAAA